TCTACTGTATCGTTCCGAAACAACAACCGCTTCCGTCTACCTCCTTTCAATCTACCACCCTACCCGTACTCCTTTTCCTAGTAACTTCCTCCTCTTTCTATCTTGTCTTCCTTCCTTCCTTCCTTCCTTCCTTCCTTCCTTACTTCCTTCCTTCCTTCCTTCCTTCCTTACTTCCTTACTAAAGTTCAGACGACGGCTTTTCCTAACCGCGCAGTAACAAGTCGCCTTTCCACGCTTAAGACCGGTCCATCATAGGATTTTCAACTTCGCTTCTCTTGCTCGTGCGATTTACTGCGACACGACTTCTTTCTAATGTCTCCGATGTTTTCGTCCAGAAAGATTCTGTCATAGGGATTGAGTAACGCGTTATTTCTTAGTATCTTATTTTCTTACAAAACTATAAGATGTTCGGATTATCGTTAAAGCTTATCTCATCGGAGAGCTTACGTTTTGTCAATATCTTTTTCTTCCATTAATACTAACTCTTTTTTTTTTATATACCATCTAAGTTAATTATCATTTATATTGCCAAAATTCATTTGTTTTCTACGACATGTCAAATACTTGATAATAATAGGCAGAATTGTGGTGCGATTACAAAGTCGTATTCGAAAGGTTCAATTAACGTGTTCACTCGTCACGTCTCGATGTTCTCCGCCTGGTCGATGATCGTAACGACGACTCTCGTTACTCACCGTTTATAGCGGCACAAATTGGAAAGTGATACCGAAGTCACGCATCGACGACTACACGACCCGATTGCTGCGCTAATTATAGAGAGAAGAATCAAGAGAGAGAGAGAGAGGGAGAGAGAAAGAGAGAGACAGAGACAGAGAGAAATAGAGTGTGGGAAAGAAAGAGGGAGAGAGAGAGATTTGCATCGAGTTATTTTAGGTAATTGGGGGTACATCGGAATTACTGAGCACCCTCTTCCGGTCTCGTGCATACATATACACAATCCAGACGCACGTGTGTCACCATTGTTGTACCAATCCAGTTAGATATTTTTTTCTTTCTTTGCAACTTACTTCCTTTTATCTTCTTTTCTTATTTACAATAAACCGTAGACTTTACAGCGAATTATTGTGCGATTCATTAAATTTTAACGAGTTTCAAAATTTATTGTTAAAAACAGTTAACGAGTGTATTTAAGAAAGGGATATCAAAGTGTCTTAATTATCTTTAAAAATTTATGCTTATTCCCATGTATTTGGCCTATTAATAAAGAAAATTTTCGAATTTACGATGGAAATAACGAATACACAAATTAGAGTCGTTATCGCTTAGTTAAAGGAAAATTTATTTTCGTTGGTATAAGCACTCTGGTAATCTCTTTTAATGTACCTTCGGTAAAACACGTAATTTGGTACACGTTAATATCTATATCCGATACAGGAGTACATAAATTTGCTTTATACAATTAGTATTTTGCGTTTGGGTATTAAGTTCTTAACTATTGCGGAAGCGTGCTTAGGGTAAAGCGGGGATTAAACTAATTATTTTCTACCACCATTAATTACAAACGCGATAAGCGATTGCAAAAATGTATTATCTCAGTAATCCGGTAGATTCGATCGAATCTACGGTTTGCTTCGTGTTCCGGTAACTTCGTCGTGTATATAATATTGGTACTAACTGGTAAGTACTAATAGTAAACACTAGTAACAACCATAACGTATTACTACTGATACTAATTTAACGATACTACGGATATTCGTAGATTAGTAATTTTTTTTTTGTTTTCTAATATTATCACGATTAAATAAATGTACAATGAAAGAAAAAAGAAAGTAGAAAGTTATTAGAAAAGTATAGAAAATCAAATATAAATAAGTTTTTATTTATTCAATCGATTTATGATTCATTGGAATCATATATGCTTTTTAAGTTCTCAAACGCCGATATTTTTCACGTCGAGAGAAAAACAAACTTTCGTTTTACCGAAGCACACGTGAGAATTGGTTTCTCTCACTTAAGTAGCTATCTTTTTCTTTCACGGCTTTTCTCTTTCTGTATGAAAGACTCACGTTAAGTGATTGGAAATCATCTGAAATCGAACGTACGGTGCACACCTGTGCTCGATCGAAAAAGAGCAATGTGAAAACGAGCGTACAGTAAACATACGAGCTATAAAAAGAAAAAGAGAGATAGATAGATAGATAGATAGATAGATAGAGAGAGAGAAAGAGAGAGAGAGAGAGAGAGAGAGAGAGGAAAACAGAAAGTGAAGCAAGCTCGGATGCTGCGGACGGAAAAGCGTGGCATAGTCGGTTTGTGATTTAGCGCGATTGCTATCCGCGTGATTTTGCTGGCTTTATGCAGACCAAACAGCTCTCAACCCTCTTCCGATCTCCCAAAACCCCTTCCCTACTTCTAGAAGGTAGTGAAAGGGTGTAGGAACAGTGTTTCGTGGATGTAACTATCTCCCAGTTTGTACCTCGTGGCGGATGACTCTTGCGGACTGGTGTTAGGGATCCATTAGCTAATGGCCATACCAGCCATCTGCTCGACGTAGCTTTTATTCGCCTATTGCTCCATATCTTTCTCTCTCCTTCTCTCACACGCACACTTCTGTCTACTGTCTCTCTCTCTCTCTTTTTGTCGTTTCTTTTACACCCTTTGAACATCTATCATCTGCCTTACGAAACTAACGATTCATTTATTCATATTCTTCTTTTATCTCTCTTCTTTTTTACTTCCTCCTATCTTTTTTAACTTTACATTTATTAGTAAACCATGTCTCTTGGCAGAAAGTACTCTTATATTTATTGTTAGTGTGGTCATCGCTTATTAACTACAAACACTTTTTAAAGGTATCTTAATATTTTCTCCATTGAACTTTGAAAATGTATTATATATATATATATATATATATATATATATATATATATATATATATTCACAAAGGAACAATGTCAACCTATTTGAACATCGAACTCTTCGTTGTACACGTTCGTTTAACACACCGAACTCGCAATATAGTCAAGAATTTATTAAACAAGCGACAATGGATGTTTATTAAAAATACATAAACCTTCTTTCATCTTATCGTCTTTATTCTCGGATTTAAAAAGACTTTCTCTCTCTCTCTCTCTCTCTCTCTCTCTCTCTCTCTCTCTCTATCTCTATCTTTCTCTTTCTCTTTCTTTCCCTGTCTTTTTCTTTCGAATACACGATGAATAACGATCGGGGATTTAAGGACGAAGCAGAAGAAGAAGAAGCGAGCACGCACAATGGCTCCCACGGACGTCGTTAAATCAGCGAACATATCGTGGGCTGAATCGAAAAGGAGCAAAACGCTTCGTCTCGTCTTCTCTCGTCTCTTCGCTTTCCCGTCAAAGGCATTTAAATAGAATATTCTCCGAAACTCGTTGTACTTTCTCTCGTCTCGTTGAAACGCTCGCTTCGAATGTTTCGTTTTCTCTCTCTCTCTCTCTCTCTCTCTCTCTCTCTTTTTTTTCTCTTTTAACGTTTTCTGGAAAACGCACGAACATGTAAAAGGATTAAAGAAAATTCCTAAGTGTCGATTCGGTTAACGAGATCAAATCAACTTTTTTCATAGAAATTTAAACGATCGAACCAAAATACGAAAATTACCATATTTTTGCTAACATTTAGCAACTCGATATGATACTTCTCGTTGAATTTCGTTATTATAGTTACATATGCAATGACTTCCCATTAAAATATATTAATATCGTGTTCCTATAAAAAGCAATGGCTTTATTTGGTATATACATATATATCAAATTTTCTCTTTATATTTCGGCATTCATTTTTAATGTATTTACATATGAAACGTAAATAAGTAATATTTATTTTGAATATCAACGGAATAAGGTGCAAGCTTTAAAAATGGAATGTTTATGCAATGAATCCATATGTTTGTTCCCATTTCAAATAATGTTATTTACGATGGAAGAGTAGTAATAATAATGTATTTTTTCGTTTATTCATAAGATAATATGACGAGGTATATTTACCAAATGAATATCGAACTGAAAATTTCACATCGACATTGATACGAACTGAATAAATTGGCTTTTGTTAAAATACATGGGAAATTAATTTTTAATATTAAAAAATGATGTGATTCGATACGCGTCGTTTCTTTTAGGCCTCGATTATTAATTACATTGCAAAAAAATCAAATGATCGATTTATAAAAATGTTATTTTAATATTAAAAATTGTTTCCCTAACGAGACAACGAAAAGCTTAAACAGATTAATTGATTCTTTTTTTTTTTCTTTTTTTTTTTTTTTTTTTTTTTTTTTTTTTTTTTTTTTTTTTTTTTAAGAAAATATAATAAAGCAATGTGATGGATCCTTACACCATAGAAAGTCTACCGAGAAAACCACAGATCATCAAAATTTCTCCTTTGACAGATATACCAAAATCACGACTGGGTGGTTCAAGTTCTCAAGGTCGAAAGTGCCATGCTCGGTACTTAAACTCGTGATATATGCGATATATACACGTATACTTGTTGCTGCTAACCCGCTGGTACTTACCTGCGCGTATACGCAGGCGAAAGAAGGTTGGCAGGTCTCGGTTAGGCGTTTTAAAGGCCGGCCTTTACACGTGTTCCTCTACTTTACATCGCCGGCTGAATAATGTGCTACGGAGCGGCATTAAAAGAGGTTTGTAAAGTCGGCGGCTTCGGGCAAAAGGCTGTATTGCCGTGCCGTCGTGGAAATTCTACGACCTGTGATGTATGCCTCAAAGAATATCCCCTAATAATATATCATTAAATGTGTTGTATATTAAAAAAGTTTTTTTAGCATGTGCGTGCAAGGCAAATAGGTATATATTTACAGCTTTGACAAAATATGGTTTATAATATATAAAGGATAATTACGAAAAGTAAAAGTTACATTGAGATCTTGTTTAATAATTGAAATGTTATTTACCGGATTTTTTTTTTTTTTTTTTTTTTTCCTAAAGAATTATAACAATAACGATATAGGAATAATATTGTTAGTACTTTGTAATACTTACTGTAACATTTTCTTCACTACATCCGTTACACTTGATACCAAAAAGAAGTCACTCGGTCTGCGAAAAGAAAATAAGAAACAAATAATACTCTGTGAAATGTTTAAAAATGAGATTAACTATATAATAGTTTTTCTATAAAGTGAACGATGTTAAGCTTTATTGAATATCAAAATTTGATCGGATAGAATTTACACTATCCTACTTATCTTTCTACTCCCCTGTACCACAATATGCATTATCTCACGATTATGTATCCAGTATTGCTCGAATATGGTAGAATTAATTTTGCTTCATGGTTCAGCGGCGATATTGGTAAGCATATTGCCGCTTAATTTATCGATCAAAAGAATTATCTGTTTTTATTATAAATTTATGTTAGGAGATACAATCATCGTTGCATATTTAAGCATATCAATTATATATATACAATATCAAATTCTTATTGAACTATTGTAAGATTACTTGGAATGTGTAAGGATTGATAAATAACTCCTGTGTCAAATTTTATTGTTATCGTTTGTTAAACAATGTTTTCATCCTGAAGCATCATTATGTGTATTTACAGATCTCTATATTTTTGCTTAATATCGACACGAAAGATACGAATTTTATTACTCTCCAAATATTTTTTCTCAATAACTATTTAGAATATTTAAATGAGAAAAAATAATAAATAGTTATATATTTATATAGCTATTTAACTTCATATATTTATTTTTTTTCAGAATAAATCATAATACAACAAGAGAGAACAGTACAGGACAGGATCGGATTGGATCGAATAGGATCGAATAGGAATGTTTAGGATCGAAAAGGACTGAATAGGATCGGATATTTCGGATAGGATCGAAAACAACAGAATAGAATCATCAAATAGAATGAATTATGATAAAATAAAATGGAACAGGATCGAATAAGATCAAATAATATTAAATAAGATCGAGCGAGATCGAATAGGACCGAATAGAATCAAACAGATCTAACAAGATTTAATAAGATCAAATAGAAAATAACAGGATCAAATAGGATAAAATAGAACCAGTTAGGACCAAGTAAGATGAAATAGAATCGAATAGGATCAAATAAGATCGAATGGAATCAAAAAGGAATTGAATAGGACTGACTAATATCAAATGACATGGAATAGGATCGAAGAGGATCGAATAGGACCGAATAGGATCAAATGATCCAAGGATCAAAAATCCAAAAAGGATTTGATCGATAAAACGGGACAGAATTGTCTTGGATCGGCTACTATTAGTTAGACTCTGATAGGGCCGAATTGATTCGAATTGGGTCCGGTCAGGGGACGAATTAGTTCGAGTCGAATCGGATCGATTTGGATCGAAACGGATCGAGATGGATCGAGACAGATTGAGACGGTTCTGCTCTAAGTAGCATCTTGAGTATTGGAATTTTATCTGGTGTATCATCCGACACATTTGAAAATCGACGGGTTCCTTTGAATATCTTCGAGTATCTTCAGATATTTTAGCTGAAGATACTCAAAAATATCTATAATGATGCATATCTTACTAAAACGTGGATATATCTGTCTGTCTTTCTGTCTTGGATAAGGGACGTATCTAAATGATAATTATATACACATATACGCATATATTCAATCTATAAAAGCTATCGTTGGGAATTGGAACGCTTTCGCTTTTTCTACTCAAAATATGAAATTTGTTTGAAACCAAATGGAATTATCCCCTTTAAAACTTAAATCGTGTATAATACTAAAATTGCATCTATCGGATGATCAAATTCATACTATTTGGTTTATAAACATTGCAAAAACCACAGAGATTTATTTACGTTTAAACGATAATTTCATTAATACTTTTATAAAACAATAACCTCATAAATGTATAATGTGTACATTTTTGATTATCCATGAGTATGGGATTTTTAAACTCTTGCATTATTACATAATTTTCTCAATGAAAACAAAAGGAAATGTTTTGAGAGTTTCGAAATATGAGCTCTTAGAGCTATAAGCTTAATTCAAACTCGATTAGCATTTTTTTATTTTATCACTCTCGGCTTCGGCTTAATGAGGAAAGACAAACGCAACGGCTAATTATAGCAGATACGCTTTTTTCAACGAAGGTAGACGAGACACACTATGTCAACGATCTATGATTTTGAATGATTATATTAAAGCGATCCAATTCAAATGTTTGTGACAAATTGTTTCTGATTTAATAATCCTTAGAATCACATTAAAAATAAGATAACAAAAGAAGAGAAAGAAAAGGAAAAAGAAAAAGAAACGAAAAGGTATCAAAGTAAATCAGGAAAGGATTCAAAGGAAAGTTGAAAAGAGCGAAACGATTATCACGTCCGAGCGGTTCCTTTTTCAATGACGAGTATAGGAAAGCAAGGGAATTGGTTGGTACGATTTACAATTAGCTGTTACATTGCCACTGTTGATTCTGGCCGATTGTTTCCTTCAACGAACACGAGTCTCCTAATTACAACTCGTCTACTGCCGTAAAGCTCTTCCTCGTTAGAGTTTCGTAGTTATGGTGGCATGGGTAAAGGAGCAGTCGAAGGAAAAAGGAAAAAAAGAAAGTAAAAGAAACAGAAGAACAAAGATGAAAAAAGAGAGAAGAAGAATGAGACAGACAGAGAGAGGGAGAAAGAGAAAGAGAGAGAGAGAGAGAGAGAGAGAGAAGGGTCCAGTGAAACGGACCGGAAGAGGCAAAGCGACGGAAGTGGATGGAAGAAGGTATGAACATTGGATAGAATTGCAGAGAGCTCGAGAAAAAAAGAAAGAAAGAGAGAGAAAGAGAGAGAGAGAAAGAATACGAGATAGTCTACACATCGGTGTCAAAGTGCTCGTGGCCTCCCCGATGGGGTGGTTCTTGCTTTGTCGTGACTCTCGAGACGCTTGGTATTATTAAGACCGACCCTCCGGAAACATATTTAACGATGGCGTGAGGAAGAAACTTTTCAGGCGTTTCTCTCAAATACGCTTCGATAATATTCATCCTCGGGGACATTCGATTGGTGAAAGAGTAAAAAAAATAAATCCAAAGAAAAGGGCAGCTTCTGTTAACTTTCATAAAATACGTTGCTAACTTTTCAATAGATTTATTACACGAATTTTATTCGAATTGTCGTTTTATAATTTAAAAAAAAAAAAAAAAAAGAAAAAACGTACAAATCGCTTAGTGAAATAAAATAATGTTAAAATTTGATTTAATATTATATAGAAAACTGTTCATATCAGTTTTCATGTATGCTGATAGATAATCAACAAGATATCAATAAAATAACTAATAAAATAAAAGAAGCACACAACTCGTTCAATGCTTCAAGCAATGTACTTGTTTCTTGCAAGTAATCGATCGATCGGCGCAATATCTTTGAAACGAATCGCATCTCGTTAAAATAAAGAAAAAAGAAAGAAAAAGAGAGAGAGAGAGAGAAAGAGAGAGAGAGAGAGAGAGAGAGGAAGAAAGAGGGAGAGAAATAAAAAATTAAAACGGGATAAATAACGTCGGGGATCGATACTTCCCCGAAGGGATTTTTGCATCAGAATACGCGGGAACGGTGAGAGCATCGTTTTTCCAATTTTTTATACACTGCATTCCAGCATGGCCTCCGATATATAGTCTTGATTAAGTTTCTTCTTAGCGTGTTCAACGTAATTGTATATAGCGGAGCACGTATTTGATTACTAATTCCTCGTCTTTGACGTGTAACGGGCTATGAGGCTTGGTGTACACAAAGTTATGTATATACGTGTATATATATACACACACACACATATATATACACATGTATGTATATATATATATATATAAACAGTTTATATATATATATATATATATATATATATATACATATATAAACAGATGAATGCAGCTCTAACACAACTAGATACACTTGTATCTTCACCCCTACCACACTCTTCTGCTTTACGGAAATGCTCACCGATATTGAATATCCGCCCATCTAACTGCGCATCTCGCGGTTATATGAGAAATTGCTTAACGAACAGGCTACGTAACCGCGTAACAAGGTATACTAATTTTGAGTCCCTCTCGCCTACGGGGATGCGTAATCCTTAGAGGGACATAATCAACACCGACATGGATCATTGAAGGGAATGGAAATAAATTTGATATAGTTGAATTTACGGTTTGACAGAGGAATGACACTAAGTTGTCCCTATTTTGATATGACGAAGATAATTGTTTCTAAATTAGGAGAGTTGATATAGATATAGGGTATAGTCAAGACATTTATCATTATTAATATAATTATTACTAATTAGTATTGTTTAACGTTTTCTTTGATTGATCTTTTCGTAAAAAAAAAGAACAAAAAAAAAGAAAATAAAAAAATAAAAAAAAAGAGACAGACTTTTATTTATTATACTTTATAAAAAGATTGTTTGCCTTAGTCCTTTTAGATTATAGAACATTCCCGAGTGAATAACGATCGATCGACATACCGAGAGATAATTTCGCGTGAATCACTCTAAAAATTCAACGGTAAATCTTTTCGATTATCTCGAGATCTCTCAAGCGAAACGATTGGGTGATCACGTGAATCGTTCGCCTATGTAGGGTATTCTATCGATGGTGCCATCGTAAAAATTCGTAGCATCGTTAAGAGTCCATCATCGTGGCTGAAGTCCGTAGTCAAGTACGAGTGCGATTCTTGGCTTGCCAAAGAGTAGGATTGTCCTTTTACAGTGTCGTAAAGGCGCATTAAACTTTAATCAAGCTCGGTGGTCCACGAAACCTAAACTATACCTGAGAAAGAATCTACTCGTTTCAAATCCAAAGAGAACCTTTTGAAAATTGCGGAAACGAAGTCATGCGGAAAACTTGCCGAGATGTCGACTCGCCATTGCGAATGTAATTACCCAGCGTAATTATAGCATTGTTTCGAAACTCAAGAGGAAAAATTCTCGGGTCGTTTAGCTTGAAATTGGTTTTGTACAGATTTTCGGAGATCGACCGTTCCTTTATGATCTAACGATAATTGCATTTACTGCCTTTGATAGTACCTATTCTCTTTTGAACGTGATATCGAAG